ACCTTGACAAGTGCATGTTTCAGGCTTATCAATGAACAACAGGAGGGGTCACAGACATAAGACCAGCTGTTAAATAAAGCTCTTCTGACCTTAGCTGTCGTGTGGGTATATATTAATGCTGCCCATTGGGCACAAGCAATTTTCACCCATTTATTAAATATATTTTTTTTATTTGAGTGTTTCCTATCCCCTAAACCTCCAAAATCAAATCAAGTTTTATTTATATAGCACATTTATAAACGATTTTTGGTCGAGCCAAAGTGCTGTACATATAATAAAATTAGCCTACAGTAGAGACACTTTACAGCAAATACAACAGCACAGATTGTTTAGAATATCAGTATGAGAAAAACGACACCCTCTGTCCTCCAGGGATGTACACAGTTTAATACTGGCAACTTCTTATTATGGGAAATATGAAAACGTCTTTTAAAACTACAATTCCCAGTAGAGACGTGCCAGCATGTGTAGTTCTGGGGACGGGGTGGGGGAGGGGGGGACGCGGTGGACCCGTTCAAATCCAGTTTTGGACAGTCTGCCGTGGTCCCATCCCATTTCATGGCTATTGTTCTGCACGGACATTTTAGTGAGCCGGACTGCCGGTCTTCGCCTCCCGGGCATGAAGCTGTTTACATGTGTTTTGAGATGCTAAATAAAAGTCTAGCTAATAACTAATACGTTTGCACTGTGGACCAACACTATACATTGACGGGGAAGGGGGTAGCAATAAAGATAACACCATTTTACACAACATGACAGAAATAATATCGATAGCAGCGTCCCTAGCAACCATCTTGGTAACAATGAAAACGTTGTATAGACACAATTTCCTGAAGTAATCTTCGTAATAACTAGCAAACTAAAGATCATGTACACCCACTGCACACATAATCTTAAATAACAACTCATATTTCTCGCATGAAATGACATCAAAACGCATTTTAATGACCAAACTAACCTTAAAATAGGCATTTTACACCGAGAATAAAACGAAGGTCGGCCATGTTTTTTTTTCTGCAGGGAGAAATTTGAAGATCACGTGACATAGAAGCCAGCCATTGGAATGAATGGTGAAAAAAAAACGTAGGGATCTTACAATTTCAGAGGCGTTTTTGTAGAAATACTACGTCCTACGTTGTGGACCAACGTAGTTATTACACGTTTTTTTGTGAGACTGGGTTGGTTAGTCAGCAGGTGGCAGTAATGAGCAGTGATTCATTAGGAGACTAGATGTAGATAGAAATTATACTTTATTCAAACCAAAGTGGGGATTATTGTTGTCATAGTAGCATGTAAACAGGTATAAGTCAAAGTTTAAATATAATACATTAAACTATAAGCATTAACAGTTAAGGCGAGACACTACAGGTGAATAGGGTAATTTGTTTAGCTTAAAGATATCAGTTAGGAATTTCTCCAGTTAATTACTTACATTAAGACAATAGTTTTTTGTATTACAAGTTTTATGAAATAGCATGTTTAAATATGCAAATGATCCATTATCTCATGAAATATATGCATACTTTAACACATTTCAGGAACACAAATCTGAACATTGGATAAAGCCAGGTTAATTTAGTCTCAGATCACTTCCACATGTTCTCCATCAGCTTCGTAGCACCTTGGACATAACACAAGAAGAACATCCTGTTTTTGTTTTTGAAAGACAAACCTTTATTAATGATCCAAACATTTCCTTTGATCACACATCCCATCAGTAAAGTGTGTTCAATGATTTCATGATCAGTTTCTCTTTATCCACCATGATGTGTTTCATCTCAGCTGTTTCAAACAGAATCAGACATGATTTACTTATTGATTATTATCATGATGAGTTATGTTCTAAAACATCAGAGTCTATTTGGACAACAACAACAACAACAACAACAACAACAACAACAAGAATTAGTCTGCAAAAAATAACTGTAATATTATACAATGTATTTCCCGAGCAAAGACTCTAAGCTATTTACAGCAGAATAATAAATGATGTACTTATTGATTATGATCATGACAGCAAGTAATATCATTTTAAATAAACATGTTATGATTAAATAAGAATAAAATGTGGAGAATAAAAGAAGCTCTGCTGCTCTCTCTCTGAAGACTCGTGCACTACAAGAGAAACAACAACAAGAATCAAAAGAAATATCCAACACATATTTAGAGCAAAGTTTACATATCAGTTCAGGTGAACAAGGATCCTCCTGAGCAGTGACAGCCTCCATGGCGACACAGACACAGGAAGGAGCCGGAAGAAAGTCCAGCATCTACAGAACAACTCGTGAGAAGACGTTGAAGCACATCCCATCATGTTTGATTGACAGCTGATCTCTGCAGTGAAGACATGGACAATCAGCTCTGATGGACACACGGTGAGTTTAAGAAGTAGAAGAGTTCCTCCAAGGATTTCAGGCTATTTGAGTTTACAAAACTCTGCAGTGGCTCCATAATCATAAAGATAAACTCCAGCATGTAGCGGCTGAGTGAACGTGGTCTGGACTCTGTGGAGGAGAGTCATGGTTTCAGAGACGCTGTAGAAGGACAGAACACCTGCTCTGTGATCCAGGTACACTCCTACTCTGGAGGACGGAGGACCTGAGACGGGAGTGTGGATACTGTTGTAACTAAATGAATAACTGTTTTGGAAACAATCTAAGGACCAAGATTTGTCATTTTTTCCAAATCCACTTTCCCCCCCCTGCTCTGCTGATATTCTTGTATGCGACTGCTACATCAACTCCTCCCCCTCTCAGCTCCACCTCCCAGTAACAACGTCCAGTCAGACTCTCTCTACTCAGGACCTGAGGACAACCAGTGAATCTGTCTGGGTGACTAGAATAAGACTGATGTTGTTTCATGCGTGTTGCTTTTCTGCTCCCCTCAGATAATACCAGCTCTGTGTTTGCTGTGTTTGGATCCAGTGTGATCTCCTGTGAATATGTGAAGAACCCAGCTCTGGAGGTGGGCTCTGCTGCTGACAGTAAAACCTCCACTTCAGTCGGTGAGACGTTTGTCCATTCCTCTCTCAGGACGTCCTGTAGTTTGTCTCTGACTGCTGACAGGGCCGCCGTCACGTCCTCAAAGTAGCTCAGAGGTCGGATGTTGATGCTGGAGGAGTGTGTAGCTTCACTGAGGGCTGGCAGTGAGGGGTAGCTGAGCAGAAAGTGGTTGTGATCCTCTGTGTGAGACAGCAGCTTCAGCTCAGCGTCTCTCCTCTTCAGCTCAGCCATCTCCTGCTCCAGCTTCTCCTGGAGCTCTCTGACTCGACTCACTTCTCTCTTCTGCTGGGATCTGACCTGCTGCTTCACATCAGAGCTTTTCTTCTCCATGAGACGGATCAGCTCAGTGAACGTCTTCTCACTGTCCTCCACTGCTTTATGAGCAGAGCCATTGACGGCCTCCACCTCCTGCTGAAGCCGCTTCACCTCCTTCTCTCCGTCCTGGATCCTCTGCTGGATGTTTAGTCGACTCCCCTCCAGCTCTCTCTGCCTCTCAGTCCTCTCTGCTGCAGCTGACACCGTGTCGTGGCCTTTGTGTTCATCCACAGAGCAGAGAGAACAGATACTCTGCTGATCAGTGCGGCAGAACAGCTTCTTCACCTCATCGTGACAAGAGCAGATGTTCTCCTGGAGCTTCTTGGAGGGCTCCACCAGCTTGTGTATTCTAAAGACAGGCGATACATAATGAGGCTGGAGGTGTTGGTCACAGTAAGAGGCCAGACACACGAGGCAGGACTTACAGGCTTACAGGATAGCAAAACCACGTGTTTTGCTGATGGGAACTTGTGTCCCCCTCGCAGTGCGGGTGCAGCGAGCTGTTTGGCTGATGCAGAGCGGAGTGCACGTGCTCAGGTGTACAGTTTAACCATGTCCTGGATGTAGGAACGGCCAGATCCATTCGCAGCATGGTACGCAAGTACCAGTGTCTTGAAGTGGATTCTAACAGTTACTGGAAGCCAGTGAAGGCAGCGGAGGAGCGGCGTGGTGTGGGAACATTTAGGAAGGTTGAAGACCAGACGAGCCACTGCATTCTGGATGAGCTGCAGAGGTTGGATGGCACATGCAGGTAGACCAGACAGGAGGGAGTTGCAGTAGTCTAGGCGTGAGATGACGTGAGATGGCGTGAGCTAGCGCTCCAACACAGTTGTACAACAGAGCCGAACCTGAAACGCCTCTATTGGACTCCTGACATTCTAGTTATCTTTTAATAAATAATGAATTAAAGTAGGTAATTTTGGAGAAACCAGCTCGAGTGTGCTAGAATTTGAAAATACACAGCCAGAAAAAATCTGCCACTTCCCTCCTCCAACACACGAACGCGCACATGACCAATGAGGGCACGAGATAAGTTTGTGCACAGATGGAAGGCTGACAGGCAGGTAGGCCATCCAGTTACTTTAGCCGGGCCGGCTCAGATGATTGGTCGTGCTTTTTACAGTAGGCCTACTACGGCTTCCACAGATGAATTTTGTTATGGATTTGTTGTCAAAGCACTTAAGATATTCATTGCTATCGGGATGTTAAGAGCATTCCATGGAATATAATAAAAAGTGTATCTCGAGCCGGTTTCTCAAACGTACCTACCCCACCTTTAAATGAATAAATGCAGGAATATATATTGATGTGTTCATGTTCATTGGTACGCTGGTAGACCATCACACTCACACAACAACACAGACTAAGACACTGTGCAATTACACCAACGTGCAATAGTGTAGAAAAATAACAAAGACTACGACACCACTGTTAACAATTCATTGCGAATGTTACCTGTAAATTGAAATAACCTTTTTAATTCTAAATACGATGTGCATGTCCTTTATCTACTAGTGTTTTATTTGTTGTCTCTATCTTCACTTTTGCTCTATCAATGTACATTTCCCCTCTGTGGGACAAATGAAGGAATTCTGATGGTGATTTCCGTTCCACCCTCCCACTCCATAGGGGGCGATAATGCAACCCGTAATAAAAATCGAAGAAGAAGAAATCCAACCGCTGCTTCCAACGCCGTTAAAAAAATCAACGAAGGAGAAGAGGCCTCGTCAACATCCATGCACCAAAGCCACAATTTGTGTGAAAACATAGGGTGAAAACATGGCTTCCCCTGTCGGCTGTGAGCATTATGTGCGCAGCTGCCTATTAAAAGTGAGTTAACTATTTAAATATATATTCTATACTAGCCCTACTTTTATGATGGAGGCATATTTAGTGTTTAAAACGACATAACGAATGGTAGCTAACCGAGCTAACGCTAGCCGGTAAAACCCCAACGGAAATTAACGACAAATATGTTATGCTTTTTGTATTTATTTGCTGCATAAGTGAGGTAAAATATAAAACATAGAGTTTAGTGAGTATTTAATTACATAGTTTATCCCTCAGTCTGCTTTTCTGTTCGGTATTTAAAACGTCGATGCAAATAAAGAGTATTTCATTCTCTATAAGTCTGGTGGAACAAGTTATTGTTATTTTCCAGTGGTGTAAAGTAACTAGGTAGATTTAGTTAACCATATCCTATTATCTTTACTCTGGCTCTCTCCATGCTCACTTATAATTCGTTTTGGCAGATGTTAAACCTGTTCCTCACAAATTATATTACTTAGCTATACAGTAAGACACACAAAACAAGCGGTATAATAATTATGCCAAAGATCTGATATAATATAACCCCCCATGATCCAAATGTGTCATGAAGTCATTTACTGAAAGAATACCATTAGGAATGTGTGTATATAAAATGTCTCTTTTCTAAAGCTGTTATCATATTAATTCAATCCAAATGTTGAGATGTAAGTGTCGAGCTGCAACGACAATTTACTACACTTGTGAGGTATTTCAGTTGTTTTGCTAATTTGTATTTTTACTCCACTACATGTATTTAATACCTTTTAGTTACTTTACAGATCTGTATGCATGATGTGAAATATAATCAAGTCTTAAATCAGACTTTAGTTCCACCTGGAGTAAATTCACAAGCTACCCTGCAGTATACAAAGTGACTGTCACTAACCTGTGATATGACAGTGACTGACACAGCCACGCTCACCTGTAATGTATTGTGTTGTAATGTTATATAATGTAATGTATTCTGCTGTTTCTCTGCCTTCAGGCTCCGTGCTGTGGTAAACTGTACGTGTGCCGGCTGTGCCACGATGCGGAGGAGAACCACGAGATGGATCGCTTCAAAGTCAGAGAGGTGCAGTGCTCTGAGTGTCAGACCGTGCAGGAGGTAACGGGACAACTGCAGACCATATATACAAAATAATTACATAATGTGTCTTTCTTCACTTCTACTGTTATATGCCTTAAATTGCTATATCATCTTTTTAAAATAAATAACTAATCCCACTATCCATCTATCTATCTATATATCCATCTATCTATTTATCTATATATCTATCTATCCATCTATCTATCATCCATCTTTCTATCTATCTCTCTCTCTCTATCTATCTATCTATCTATCTATCCATCTATCTATCCATCTATCTATCATCCATCTTTCTATCTATCTCTCTCTCTCTATCTATCTATCTATCTATCTATCTATCTATCTATCTATCTATCTATCTATCTATCTATCTATCTATCTATCTATCTATCTATCTATCTATCTATCTATCTATCTATCTATCTATCTAATCATCCCCAAAATTGAACAAGTAATTTGTATCTCATGCACCTTCTAAGATCCACCGCTGGAAAAGTGTTATATGCCTTAAATTGCTATATCATCTTTTTAAAATAAATAACTAATCCCACTATCTATCTATCTATCCATCTATCTATCTATCTATCCATCCATCTATCTATCTATCTATCTATCTATCTATCTATCTATCTATCTATCTATCTATCTATCTATCTATCTATCTATCTATCTATCTATCTATCTATCTATCTATCTATCTATCTATCTATCTATCTAATCATCCCCAAAATTGAACAAGTAATTTGTATCTCATGCACCTTCTAAGATCCACCGCTGGAAAAGTCGGCATTCTCTCAACTTTTCTTTAAATGGCTCTTGGTTTAGCATAATGCTTTTTTACTTATATTTGCAGGTTGCCATAACTGCTAGAATACGATCCAAAAACAGTTTTTATTTACTCCGAACATGGTTATTGTCATGAGAATACTAACAGTCCAAACACCTCTGTCTCTTTCAGGCGCAGCAGACGTGCCAGCAGTGTGACTTGAACTTCGGGGAATATTACTGTGACATCTGCCACCTGTTCGACAAGAACAAGAAGCAGTACCACTGTCAGCCCTGTGGGATATGCCGGTGAGCAAGAGAAGAGTTTAAAGACATAGAATCAAAGAAAAAAGATCCTTATGTGTTTGATGTGACACAGTGCACATCTCAGTGTGTTCTCAAATGTTCCATACTGCTGTATTATTCATAACGGCTGTGTTTGCTCCTCACAGGATCGGACCCAGGGAGAAGTATTTCCACTGTGAGAAATGCAATCTGTGTTTAGCTCAGGACCTGCGGGGAAACCACAAGGTGATTATTAACCTGCAACACACACACGGACAGACAGACAGACAGACAGACACACAGGCTGCATCTCAGGTCGGTTAAATGGATTCCTTGCGTCCCTCACTTGCGTCGTTTCCCTGCGTTTAGTCCCTCCCACCAGGGAAGCATGGAGGGACGCAAGGAAACCACGAGAAGCAGGGAAATGAGTTTTAAGAGCAATGGGACGTCCTTTCCTCCGGAGCGTCACGTGAAGCGACGTCCGTTTGTGATGACGCTGCACAGCTGTTCGTCTGGCAGCAGCTCTGTCCCCGTTATTTCCACACACACCCCCGCCTCTGTTAGTACACATTTACTGACACAAACATTTGTATCATCTGTTGTAGACCCAAATAAATCAAATCAAATAAGAAGTCATTCTCAAAAAAGATAAACGCCATTCTTAAAATGTAAAACGAAAAAAGCGATCATGAAAATGTTTCCAATGAATTAAATGATTTTTGACCACTTTGTTGTTCAGATATATCACATATTTGTAACTAAATGAAACATGAATTGAAACAAAACACGGTATAAACTGAGGAGTGAGTCCCGTGAGGTTCATGTATTTTCTTCACTCCGCTGGGAAACTGCTCAGATGTCAAGAAGCATGAAATCAGTGCATGCACTGCCTCGTCCAATCAGTGAGCGATACACAGTAAGGGGGCGGGGCGAGTGTCTGAGGATTTCACCGGAGGATGGTCTGGTGGTTCCTCGGTTATCGCTCCTCCATGATCGCTCCTCGCTCCTCCGGCAGAAATAAGCGCCATGGGACGCTACTCAAGATGGCGCAGACAAATCAACTTCCGGTGAGACCGAGACCGAGGAGCGAAGAAATGAAAAATAACCGACCTGAGACACACACACACACACACACACACACACACACACACACACACACACACACACACACACACACACACACACACACACACATTATACATTCTTTATCCTCACTGCTGTCACTCACAAATATATTTTCTGTTTCAGTGTGTGGAAAATGTCTCCAGGCAGAACTGCCCCGTGTGTATGGAGGTAATAAAGCATGATGTCGTGGTATGACAATTACGCGATCCATTATTTTCTCTACAATCCTGATATCATTTCATTTTTTTTATTTACAGGATATTCACACGTCCAGAATTGGAGCTCACGTTCTTCCGTGCGGCCATCTTCTACACAAGTAGGACTCATTATTCTCTAAACACAAGTATCTCAGTGTATGGGGGGGGAATAATGCACTAACTGTTTCAATATGTTCACACTGCAAGATACATCCTTGAATGTAGGACCGGCACCTGAAGCTGTTGTAATGATGATATCATATTTATGTATTTGTTCAATATGTGTAATGACATAAATGTAATAATTATTGTCTTTGTTTACCTTCTCTGCAGAACCTGCTTCGATGACATGGTCAGAACAGGGTGAGTCTTATAAATAATTTGTCCTTTTTTTAGGATTAAACGCGTCTCGTCCCTCTTACAACCGACCAATCACATTCTCCTAAACCTAAAACTATACGCTGCTTCTAATAAACATATCATAGAAACACAGGAGTTGTCAGACTGAAATACAATGAAGTAAATTACACTCCAGTTTAAATAAGTCAGCTATATTTCCAAAATCACATCATTCATTGTTGGCGTGAATGTCGATATATTTGAGCTGTAATTAATGTGCAAGAATAATAATAGATATCTTCTTTTGTCTTCTCATGGAAGCATTGCTCATGTATTTATTGAAAAAATTAAAATATGTTTCTACTCACGGTTTTTTCCTGATGTGCTTCCAAAATATATCTTTCTGTCCTCAAAATGTCCCATTGCCTTCCCAGGAATGAGAGCCGGATATATATATATATATACATACGCCATATAAGTTTATCTTATTTTAAAGGTCACCTATTATGCAAAATCCTCTTCTTCATGTCTCTTCTGCATCAACATGTGTCCCCTCTTCTTCGTGTCTCTTCTTCATCAACATGTGTCCCCTGTTCTTCATGTCTCTTCTACATCAACATGTGTCCCCTCTTCTTCATGTCTCTCCTACATCAGCATGTGTCCCCTCTTCTTCATGTCTCTTCTACATCAACATGTGTCCCCTCTTCTTCATGTCTCTTCTACATCAACATGTGTCCCCTCTTCTTCATGTCTCTTCTACATCAACATGTGTCCCCTCTTCTTCGTGTCTCTTCTACATCAACATGTGTCCCCTCTTCTTCATGTCTCTTCTACATCAACATGTGTCCCCTCTTCTTCATGTCTCTTCTACATCAACATGTGTCCCCTCTTCTTCATGTCTCTTCTACATCAACATGTGTCCCCTCTTCTTCATGTCTCTCCTACATCAACATGTGTCCCCTCTTCTTCATGTCTCTTCTACATCAACATGTGTCCCCTCTTCTTCATGTCTCTTCTACATCAACATGTGTCCCCTCTTCTTCATGTCTCTTCTAAATCAACATGTGTCCCCTCTTCTTCATGTCTCTTCCACATCAACATGTGTCCCCTCTTCTTCATGTCTCTTCTACATCAACATGTGTCCCCTCTTCTTCATGTCTCTTCCACATCAACATGTGTCCCCTCTTCTTCATGTCTCCTCTACATCAACATGTGTCCCCTCTTCTTCATGTCTCTTCTACATCAACATGTGTCCCCTCTTCTTCATGTCTCTTCTACATCAACATGTGTCCCCTCTTCTTCATGTCTCTTCTACATCAACATGTGTCCCCTCTTCTTCATGTCTTTTCTACATCAACATGTGTCCCCTCTTCTTCATGTCTCTTCTACATCAACATGTGTCCCCTCTTCTTCATGTCTCTTCTACATCAACATGTGTCCCCTCTGTGGAAAGAGACTCTGAAAGTTTCAGGAACAAAGATTCTCTCTCTTTTTGATCCATTCTATAAAAACCTGTCTGAAAATGAGCTGATCAGATTTTGGCCACTTTATGATGTCATAAAGATGTTATGGCTTGAGTAACCATTAGCCAATCACCAACCAAGGTAACCCCCCTCCCCCTTATCACCTGAATCTCCTCCTAGAGCACCATTGAGTTCTTTCTAACCAAATGTCTCTCAGAGGGGCGTGGGGAGGGGCTCCTTATTTTCATCTAAAGTAACAGACAGAGAATCAGCACTTTGGAAACAGGGCTGAAACAGAGGAGATTATGGGGTGCTGCAATGATCTGTTTGGTGTTTCAGCCAATCAGAGACATGTTCTGTATATATCTGAGACCTATAATATATTAATGAAAAACAGTATAATAGGGGACCTTTTACCTCTTCCACTAATGCCCCCCCCCCTCTCTCCCTGCAGAGCGTACCGCTGCCCCCTCTGTATGCACTCTGCCTGCAGCATGGAGTATCACTGGAAGCAGATCGATAAGGAGATCTCTCTCTCCCCGATGCCCACAGAGTACCAGGGCGCTACTGTCAAAGTAAGACCTCAATAACATGCACATAGAGTTACTACTAATGTGTGCTTTCCTTTCTTTATTTACTAAGTTAGCTTACCCTTTATTATTGCATGCCTTTTTGACCTGCTATGCTACTTGTGCTGTCACGGTACGATACGATAATACTTTATTGGTACTTTATACGATACCGATACATATCGTGATACTTTCATGTTGCATAAGGGAAACATTTAATCATCCCGCAATTACTCCCATGAAGCGCTTTATGATATAGTTAACATGTCAAATGAATATTAAATTAAATTGTGGGACTTGGACCTTTTAGTACTGAACAAACAATGAAAAACACATTATCTATGAAGAAAACAGATTCTGCAATATCATTTATAACAACCATCAGGCGGGAATAGCACATCTTGTCAATGCAAAAAGAAAAGCACCGGTATAATCAATGTTCAACCTGAGATTCGACTGACCAAAGAACACATAACAGATCATGAGATCTCGGCATTGCACATAATGGCATCATTAAAATCAACATTTGCCTGATGAAAGAAAACAAATCCCATCACAGTTCAGTTTCAACTGAACACTCTCTCGCTCGGCACGCTGCTTCCCTGAACACAAAGGCACTTGGTTGCCATACGAGACAGCATTGGTTGGAGGTTGGATGTGTTGCCGCCAGAGATGGGGACTCGAGTTTGTGACTCGGACTCGAGTCGCACTTAAGTCGCACACACAGAGACTTCAGACTTGACTTGGACTCCTGCTCAAAAGACTTCAGACTCGACTTGGACTCGTGTTTTGGGACTCGTGAACAATCATTGTGTTTTCTATTTTTGGCGTATTAAAGGTGGGGTAGGTAAGTTTGAGAAACCGGCTCGAGATCGCTAGAATTTGAAAATACACAACCGGAGAAAATCTGCCACTTCCTTAGAGCCCCTCCTCCAACACACGAACGCGCACATGACCAATGAGGGCACAAGATAAGTTTGTGCCCCGATGGAAGGCTGACAGGCAGGTAGGCCATCCAGTTACTTTAGCCGGGCCGGCTATCGGGATGTTAAGAGCATTCCATGGAATATAACAAAAAGTGTATCTCGAGCCGGTTTCTCAAACTTACCTACCCCACCTTTAACATTAACATCATGGTAACACCATGGCGACCGGCGGCACACCTGCAGCTGTACCGCTTGTAATTAGGTTCAACTATAAAAACTTTGAACAAAACGCCGGCGGCACCAACAAAAGGAGCGCACACTGCAAAGTCTGCAATATTAAAATCAAGGATGCTGGTGCAACAACGTCAAATTTCATCAGGCACTTGAAAACTCACCCGGAGAGGTCAGTCACATTAACGCATATGGACGGTTAGCAAACATGTTTAGCTCAGCATCAGCTATGTAATGTTAACTTAGCTTGCTACTAGCTTTGTAACTGAATATTTGAAAAGATGAGTGAATGTTTGTTTGTCACACTTGTTTGCGTTGAATGACGTTGACATCCAACTCTTGACATGACATAAAAAAGGTCGGTAACGTTAATCATTACGTTCCGCTGCCACCATCTACTGGCTAAGGTTAAACGTAGAAAAATACATAGTTACATACATAAATACATCTGTCGGTTTATAGGCAGGTTACAGGTTTATTGTTGACCACGTAACGTTAATGTTACAGGTTTATCAGGTTACCATTACACTGGGTTTGAGTGAGAGGATAGAGGAATATGTTTATTTATAGTAGACTTAAAAGATGTAATTAGAGACCCAGTGTAATTAAACAATACGGTTGCAGAGGTCACATTTTTACATGTTTGTCCACTGGCCAAATGGCTAGCCTAGTGAATGTTGAAATGTTACCAGCCACTCAATAGATAGATTGCCATTGTTATTTGTGGCTGGTGCGTGCAACATACAGAACCAGCCACTTGCATGATTTACCAGCATCTGGCTGGTAAATGGTGTTAATGGTAGATATCTCTTTTGGAACAGGTCATGTTTTAATATCACCAGTTCAGTATATTTCAGATAATATTGCAGCAATAGTTTTTTAGTTGCAAATGGCACAGAACAAATGTTTACTTTTTAAGTACTTTTAACACAGTTTCCCTGCGGGGGATTAATAAAGTATTTGTGATACTGATTTCTGATTCTGAAGTGTTTTGCTTATAAGTTGTTTGCATTTAGCTAAAGTGTGATGTTTTTCCTCATATTGCATTGCAATAGCCTGTTTAAAGTGATCATATAACAAACAACTAATCAGTACTGATACTGTATGCTAATAGATATAGGAGTGATAATAATACAGTAAATGCTTTGAATGTCTTAGATATAGCTGTGCAGTATTCTTAACAGACTGGATAGCAGCAGACAATAGAAGGCTTATTACAACCAGAAGAGACATGAGACTTTTATTTTTTAGAGACTTGAGACTTGACTTGGACTCGTGACCAAAGACTTGAGACTTGATCAAGTCTCACCCCACAAAGACTTGAGACTTGACTTGGACTCGTGACCAAAGACTTGAGACTTGACTTGGACTTGCAAAAAAAGACTTGTGAACATCTCTGGTTGCCGCCTTTACCAGAAATAAACTTATTGCAGTGGTTACGGACCCCACCATTCAGACTGGCAGTGGTTACAGACCCCACCATCAGACTGGCAGTGGTTACAGACCCCACAATTCAGACTGACAGTGGTTACGGACCCCACCACTCAGACTGGCAGTGGTTACGGACCACACCATCAGACTGGCAGTGGTTACAGACCACACCATCAGACTGGCAGTGGTTACAGACCCCACCATTCAGACTGGCAGTGGTTACAGACCCCACCATTCAGACTGACAGTGGTTACAGACCCCACCATTCAGACTGACAGTGGTTACAGACCCCACCATTCAGACTGGCAGTGGTTACAGACCCCACCATCAGACTGGCAGTGGTTACAGACCCCACCATTCAGACTGGCAGTGGTTACGGACCCCACCACTCAGACTGGCAGTGGTTACGGACCCCACCACTCAGACTGGCAGTGGTTACGGACCCCACCATTTGACTGGCAGTGGTTACGGACCCCACCATTCAGACTGACAGTGGTTACGGACCCCACCATTCAGACTGACAGTGGTTACAGACCCCACCATCCAGACTGGCAGTGGTTACAGACCCCACCATTCAGACTGGCAGTGGTTACGGACCCCACCACTCAGACTGGCAGTGGTTACGGACCCCACCACTCAGACTGGCATTGGTTACAGACCCCACCACTCAGACTGGCAGTGGTTACGGACCCCACCACTCAGACTGGCAGTGGTTACGGACCCCACCACTCAGACTGGCAGTGGTTACAGACCCCACCACTCAGACTGGCAGTGGTTATGGACCCCACCACTCAGACTGGCAGTCATATGCAGCCACACTTTAGATTTTCTAAATGAGGCCAACACTCTACAGTGACTCGTTTGCGGAGTTTTACGGCGAAATTTACATCGTAATTTTGACGGTTTAGGCGCGAGTTTAAGGATATTACGCCTCCCTTTTATAAAAATAATAATAAAGTATCGAAAACCGGATCTGATTTCGGTGCCAGTAACCGGTATTTCGGTAATACCGGGTACCTGTATGCACCCCTAGTCAGATCAAGTCTGAAATGTGACTTGCATCACAGCAGCTCCATGTGGAACATCAACAGACAAACATCAAGAGACAATACATGAAAAACAAACAACAAACATTTAACATAACTGCACAATCAGTGAGAGAAAACCTGCTCAGAGAGCCTTCAGCGTGCATTTGATCTGGATTCAGCTCTGTGTTTACTGAGAGGATTGACTGGAGCACAAAGGATGCTTCAGTCTGACTTTATTGAATCACTGCATTTCCCCACCTCGGGACTAACAAAGGAACTCTGGTTCTGATTCTGTGTTTCCTCCGTACAGATCTTATGTAACGACTGCCAGACTCACTGCACGGTGCCTTTCCACGTGTTGGGGATGAAGTGCACCGGCTGCGGATCCTACAACACGGCGCAGGACGGGGGGCTCATCCAGCAGCAGCAGGGGGGGGAACAGCAGCAGCAGCAGGGGGAGGAACAGGAAGAGGAGGAACAGCAGCAAGAGGAGGAAGAGGAAGAACAGCAGCAAGAAGAGGAGGAAGAGCAGGAGGACATTGAGACAGACACAGAGCCGGAGCAGCCTCCCACTCCTCATTAACACTGAATCACACTGAAAGACATTTATACTTTAAACTGAACTCAAAGATTGTAAAAACATTTTTTTTCTGAACCCGCAGAGCGAGAACATATCCCAGCATGCACTTGGGGAGATGAAGGGTATCAAGACCAGCGTTGCCAGTCAAATATTAAGAGGAAGACTATTTGCAGAATTACATCAAGGCAGGTCGTTTTTACTTTAATGGCAAGTACACTACTTCAAATGAACACAAGTCCTTTGTGAGTGACACAAATAATAGCTTTAGGCCTAAATTAGATTCAATTCAATATTTGTCAGCAAACTGACATACAGGGCTTTCTGGCATGCCGCTGTCAACATGAAATGTAAGCGCTGTTTTGATTTAAAAACACTTCAAGTTTTGCTTATAGGGAATTCTGTTCACCAGATGGGTTTAAATGTGTCTGACTTCAACAGATTATTCCATGTAAGGAGGGGAAACATGACGATAGGTTAATTACTCGTGGTGTGTTCAGGGTCGGTGTATTGTTTTCTGATAAAGGGATATTTCTGATGCTTGGAAGTTGGATTGTGTGAGGTACTTAGCATCAGTCATCAGTGTATTGACTAGAACAACACAAAGGAATATACTGCAGTGGACAAAGACACAAGTAGGACTTATTTTAGCTGCATGCAACAATTCCAAATCAGTGTAATTGTACGTTAAATTTAGAGTATTTTAACAGCTGTGCCCAGCCCTCAGACACCTCGCTGTAATCCAAGCGCTCAGACTTCATAGAAAAGAACAGAAGTCTTACCTTCCAGATTAAAAAGGAATCACTGATCGGGCGTTTCAATGTGCTAACTCTCTAAAGCCAGCCGAGAAAATGTCTTGTTGCTATGGAGATATGTTCCGAGTCTTGCCTTTTTCCTTAATGAATCATTAACTTGTATTAATTAATACAAACACCCAATAAAATACAGAGTTTTACGAAGATCTTGTTTTACTACTGTGTTGTCCTCGGAACGATTTATTGACAAATATAATGACATTTCATCAGATAACATTACATACAGTTAAATGGAAATAACAATACAATTATGAAAGATTATGACCAATTATCACATTTAAGAAAATGACTTCGTACCTTTTAGAGCTCCTCAAATGCACTTCAAAGTGTTTGACAAGCAATTGATAAAAATGTGAAAATAGATTAAAACGATTTTAAAAAATCATAATAGGCGCATTCACACCGCAGTACTTTTCCCACAAAGGTTCATGAGAACTCTTTAGTTCTCATGAACTAAGTACAGATCGCGTTCACACCGGAATAAGTCCCTGGGGGAGGATTAGACAAATGAAGCCGCTGACGTCACTTCTTCTTCTTCTTCTTCTTCTTCTTCTGCTTTGGGTTTACTGGCAGGCCGCAAACCACTTCACGGCGTATACTGCCGCCCAAAGTCCCCGGCCGGAAGTCCCCGGAGTTGGGGACTGGCTTCAGTAGAAGCTGCTGGGACTCCCATCAGCTTCTACTGAAGCCTTCCGAGTAAATCGCCAGAACGCCGACACCTCCTCATCTCCACCGCTCCCATGTTTTATTTTGTGTCGCCATAAGTTAGTCTCTCTGCGTTTCTGCGCTGGGCTAATGCTAATGCGAGGATAATAAAATGGCGGCTTCACAAAACTTTTTGGGAGTTTTACGGGGCGTGGTTTGCAATCCGCCCAGCCAATCAGAAATATAGCTCTTTTCTCACAAGAGAGCCGCACGAAAGTCCCTGCTCTCTAGCAGGGACTTTCGTGGGGGTAAAAAGGTTCTCATGAACTAATTTTAGTACCGGCTCTTTTTGGTGTGAACGCGACAAAAGAGTTCTCATGAACCTTTGTGGGAAAAGTACTGCGGTGTGAATGCGCCTAATAATCAACAGTTAAGTGTTGATAAAATAGAGTGAAATAGAAAATAAAGATTATAAAAACAAAGAGTTATAAAGTAGATAACAACCAGACTGTAAAGATGTATTTTGTTTAAAATCAGAGTTCAGACCGTCAGACACAAAAAAACCTGAACCGTTGACTTTGATCAAATGTGTTAGTGTCAGAGTTCACATCACTGTATAAGGTTAGTTACAAGCAATTATATTAAGTTAAAATAAATATTAGGTTCAACTTAATATTATTGCTTTCAACCAACCTAAGACAGTAATGTGACATTTTTTGACATAATACATTTATTTAAAGTCAACGGTTCAGTTGTTTCAGAGCAGATCCTCTGTCAGAAAGCAGCACGGCCAAAACACTTCACTTAGTCTCTTTGGATCACTTGCTGTCTCCTCTGGGTTCTGGTTCTGGGGTGTCGAACTGGAACGTGACGCAAACAGGGACCCCGGTGAGGGCGGTGCTTATAGAGGGATCTTTAGGGTGGGGGCTGCCGTGGAGAAAGGGTGAGGAAACTCTGGAGGTGGGGAGCAGTGGCGGTTCTAGACCAATTTGACTGGGGGGGGCCACTGGGGGGCCAGTTATTTTCTGAGGGGGGGCACAATAAATGCAGGACGAAAAAGAGAACTAGACAGTATGAAGTAATTGCGCATAAGAAAACAATGCAATACAGTTATTGGTATTTGTTTCAATACACTTATTTATTTCAGATAGATCTTATAGTTATTACTGTTAGCTTCAGCTTAAGTTATAATGCAATGTTTGCACTCACACCATATTTATATAAAAATAAAGGCAATGAACAGTTACATCTCTACTTTACATAAGGGTGTCTGCACAATCTCACATTACAGTGTTACAACCCGGCTCCTGGGCTGCAACAAAAAGCAGGGAGGCGAGACGAGAGGTACGAATATACGTTTTATTTGTAACACGTCAACTAAATGAACACCAGCAACAGGTCCCCGAAGCTGGCGTAGAGAGAGAGTGCCCAGAGGAGTGAGGGCCACGTAACCTGCTGGGCTCCTCCTATATTTGATTCAGGTGTAGCTCATCCGGCAGGTGTGCCTCATCAGACAACTGCAGCTGGAACCTGCAATCACACACACACAACCAGACGGCACCCCACGCGGTGTGGAGGGGTCGTCACAACAGCAACAAAATCCTGCGGTTTTTGGCAAACCGAGTACCAGAAAATATACATTTAAAAAAATAAAAAATAAACTTTTCATTGTTAAGGGGGCCACAGGGGGGTCAGAGGTCAGTGTTAGGGGGCACTGCCCCCCCCCCCCCCCTAGAACCACCCCTGGTGGGGAGGCAGAGGCGTCCACATGTGGAAGGACGTTCAGGAGGTCAGCGCTCAGAGAAGCGTCCACAAACAGAGCTATGTTTGCTGGGTCTTCAGGGAGGAGAGGGAGGGGGTCTGTGGAGGTCTGAGAGGAGAGGAGGGAAGGAGGTGAGGAAGGAGGTGAGGTTTCGTGGGTCACGTTAGGTAGGGGTGTCTCTGTGATGGGGTCCTGTGGGGGGGGGATCCTGGGAAGGGGACACATCGGGAGACGTCTCCTCAGAGGAACTCACCTCGATGGACTCTAAGGAATCTGAGGTTTCTTTTCCATTGAGACACATCTGTTGGAGGGTAAAAAGAAAAGATTTAAAAGAAGGTTTCAACCACAAATCATCATTTTGGTGTCGATTAAAGAGGACGTATAGTTTGCAAGTTCATATTTTTCTCTCCCTCTCATAACCCAAATCACACACCCTTTCAAAATAAAAGCCCTATATATTTCCTGTATCCTTACAGGAAGCACAGGAAGAGGGATGGTTTTTCCAAATAAAAGCCCTATATCACTGTATCCAAACAAGACGCACAGGATAAGGATTTTTTTCTATATAAAAGCCCCCCCCACACACACAATACTATTACTACTACTACTACTACTACTACTACTACTACTACTACTACTACTACTACTACTACTACTACTACTACTTCTTCTAATACAACTACTACTACTACTACTACAACTACTACTACTAGTACTTACAGTAAAAAACGACTTACTGTACATCCAACTATTAAATCAATCAGCTATTTCAGGACATTGAGGCTATACATTTACAGTGGAGGAAACCAGTATTTAACACCCTTCAGATTTTGTAAGTTTGCCAACTTATTTTACAACTAAAAGCTCTTTTCAAATGAAGAGCAGGTTGTAACCGAGGCTCTGTGTAGGTCAGAGTCTGAGCGCTGCTCCTCCTCCTGGAATGAATCAGAGTTTGATGAGCCCTCCCTCTTCTTCCTGCTCTCAGACACAGCCAGCTCCACTCTGTACTTCCTGGTTACTCCCCTTCAGATCCACACTGAGGAGGAGGGGTGAAACCAACATGTGGGCAAAGTACAAGAGCTGATAGGCCACATTCACTGCACACACACATGTTGTTCAGATAACCAGTCACACTAGTTTCAGCTCTCAGGAAGTGAAACTCACACACTCGCTGCTACTGAGAGGTGAAATGGCGCAGAAAGGAGTTCAGCTGGACCGGGAGACCTTCTCTTGTTCCATCTGTCTGGATCTACTGAAGGATCCGGTCACTATTCCCTGTGGACACAGCTACTGCATGAAGTGTATTACAGGCTTCTGGGACGGAGAGCTAATCCACAGCTGCCCTCAGTGCAGGCAGAGCTTCACACCGAGGCCTGTCCTGCTGAAGAACACCATGTTAGCAGCTTTAGTGGAGGAGCTGAAGAAGACTGGACCCCCACCTGCTCCTGCTGATCTCTGCTATGCTGGAGCTGGAGATGTGGCCTGTGATGTCTGCACTGGGAGGAAACTGAGAGCCTGTAAGTCCTGCCTCGTGTGTCTGGCCTCTTACTGTGACCAACACCTCCAGCCTCATTATGAATCACCTGTCTTTAGAAAACACAAGCTGGTGGAGCCCTCCAAGAAGCTCCAGGAGAACATCTGCTCTCGTCACGACGAGGTGAAGAAGCTGTTCTGCCGCACTGATCAGCAGAGTATCTGTTATCTCTGCTCTGTGGACGAACACAAAGGCCACGACACGGTGTCAGCTGCAGCAGAGAGGACTGAGAGGCAGAGAGAGCTGGAGGGGAGTCGACTAAACATCCAGCAGAGGATCCAGGACGGAGAGAAGGAGGTGAAGCTGCTTCAGCAGGAGGTGGAGGCCGTCAACGGCTCTGCTGATAAAGCAGTGGAGGACAGTGAGAAGACGTTCACTGAGCTGATCCGTCTCATGGAGAAGAGAAGCTCTGATGTGAAGCAGCAGCTCAGATCCCAGCAGAAGAGAGAAGTGAGTCGAGTCAGAGAGCTCCAGGAGAAGCTGGAGCAGGAGATGGCTGAGCTGAAGAGGAGAGACGCTGAGCTGAAGCTGCTGTCTCACACAGAGGATCACAACCACTTTCTGCTCATCTACCCCTCACTGCCAGCCCTCAGTGAAGCTACACACTCCTCCAGCATCAACATCCATCCTCTGAGCTACTTTGAGGACATGACAGCGGCCCTGTCAGCAGTCAGAGACAAACTACAGGACGTCCTGAGAGAGGAATGGACAAACGTCTCACCGACTGAAGTGGAGGTTTTACTGTCAGCAGCAGAGCCCACCACCAGAGCTGGGTTCTTCACATATTCACAGGAGATCACTCTGGATCCAAACACAGCAGACACACGGCTGGTATTATCTGAGGGGGGCAGAAAAGCAACACACATGAAACAAGAACAGCCTTATTCTCGTCACCCAGACAGATTCACTGATTATCCTCAGGTCCTGAGTAGAGAGAGTCTGACAGGACGTTGTTACTGGGAGGTGGAGTGGAGAGGGGAAGGAGTTTTTGTAGCAGTCGCATACAAGAATATCAGCAGAGCAGGGGGGGAAAGTATATTTGGAAACAATGACAAATCTTGGTCCTTAGAGTGTGACCAAAACAGTTATTCATTTCATTACAACAGTATCCACACTCCCGTCTCAGGTCCTCTGTCCTCCAGAGTAGGAGTGTACCTGGATCACAGAGCAGGTGTTCTGTCCTTCTACAGCGTCTCTGAAACC